TTCTACGCAACTTTGCCATTGCGGATGTCCTGAAGAACGCTCTGGGCGATACATTGAACGCTGGGGTTGAGCTCCTTCCAGGTCGTCCAGTTGTTGATTTGGATTAGGCTGATGAATTTTCTCTTACTAGTTGACGATCCACACGCACTAAACCGCTTGGAGGTTGCATGATCAATGTATGGTATATACTTGTTGTCATCCAAATATAACGCTCTCTTTCAAGACTGGCAGGTGCCTGTGCTTGCAAGCACTCTTGGCGGTGAGACTCTGGAGGTTGTGGAGAGCTTTGCCTACTTGGGAATTTGCATCACTGCTGTCGGGGCTGTTGGAGACGTGGTTTCGATGCGCATCTCGAGAGGACGCGTCGCTTTTTCAATGCTAAAGCACTTTTGGCGTCGCCACGACATTCGTCGCTCCATCAAAGCGCGGGTCAATTGTGCAACTGTTCGTCCTGTACTGTTGTACGTATGCGTGACCTGGCCCAATCGTAAAGGTGACTTGCGCAAATTATCCGTCTTCGAGCACCGCTGTCTGCCGTCCATTGCCTGTGTGTGGTGGCGGCACCAGGTAAGCAATTTGGAAGTTAGGCATCGTGCCTTGGAACGCGGAAGCCACTCGCTCGAGCAGTTCGTCTCATTGCATCAACTGCGGTGGTTGGGACACGTATTGCGCACGCCTGTCCAGCGTTACCCGTGTCGTGCTTTGTTTGCGGTTGCTGGACAGGGCTGGAAGAGACGGTCTGGTGGACAGCCTACAACATGCAGAAGCCGGATGAAAAAGCTGACGAAACAGTTGGCCTCGGCCGGTTGTTGTCTACTACCTGGTTGGGGTCCGAGAAATGCGGATACTTGCTGGTTGAAGACCTTGGAAGTCATGGCTCAAGACTGATATAAGTGGCAGAGGAATGAATCAGTGTGCTGCGGTGTCCCTCCTCCCTTTCACTAAAAATACAAAGTATTTAACCATTGTTTGGCATACTGGACAAAAATATCTTTTGTTGTTGTTATTTTCTTATTATTCATACTGTTTTCCTATGCAGCCAAGGTTGCGATGGCACAATATCCGTACCACAGGTTTTCTATATATGGTTGACAGCATCCAGTTTCGGATTTGCCTGTCACTGTGGCCAGCCACAGGACGCCTGCGCCTACAGAGGGACCATGGATGGCTTGTGCTGCACCACTCACAGCTCCATCTACACACCCCATATTCAGTGTAAACCCGAATAAATAAGACCGGGAGGCATGCGGATGGGAACCGCGTTTCATCAACGGGGCCGGCCCACACTCCTTCACAGGCAAAAACAATCACGCTGTATTTGGGGAATCAAGTGCACACAAGGCGGTGGCTGGACCGTACTCCGCTCCACACTGAATGCATGGAATCACTATTTGATCCTAGCACGACCACAAGGACCGTGCACCCCGTCCCCTCCAGCAACGACCAACTGTCTCCTGGAGCCAGATGGACGAGGTAGTGGGTAATAGACAGGTACGTACCTTGTCAACATGCACATCAAGCGCAGCCACACCTGGGATATCAAACAACAGCCAATCACTCAAAACGCCGATATCGAATAAAGTAAACGCATATGACGGCATAAATACTCGCTAAATGAGCATATAGAAGAAATAGATTATAAGTGCATCCGTGATAAGTACAAAATGTCCGAGTTATTTAAAAAATACCGCGCGATACCCTTACGCAAGTTTACCACAATTTGCACGAGCGACGTGTGCAAGTTGGAAGATTACCAAGTACGCAGAGCAAACCAAATAAAATGTAACGAATTTTATCCGCATTAAAAAGACCTAGTTTAAGTGTACGTTGGTTTAGCCCAACTGCGGTGAACAATGGAACAATGGTATATGACGGGTAAAAAAGCATACACTTGACGAGTCCCGCAGGTTGGCCATAGAAATACTAGCAAATTGGCAAACCACATAAGTGGTTGAAGTAAGGAGTGTCAGTGAGATAAAAGGTAGAAGTATAACAGTTTTAGGGGGATAAAGTGGTACGACGCAAAACTGGCTAAGAAATTGTTATCGTTGGTGATGGTAGCAAATAAAAATGGAGTACTCACCGGTTCGCACAGATTTACGACCGTGAATTTGGAGTATAAATCCAAAGAGGCTGGTCAGCCTAAATATATACCAGCGTTTTCGTTCATAAAACAAAGCGCAGGGCGCTCAGTGCGACGTCCAATCGTTTTTTAAACGTATCTAATGTGGGGGCACAAACAACTGAGTTTGGAAGGGCGTTCCAGGGCCCGCAGACCCGGAGGGAGAAATAGGTTCTCCGACAGTCTAGACGACTGTACTGTTGGCTCAGCTTTAAACGGTTACCGCGAAGGTTAGTGTTCGGGCTGAGCTTCAAGAGGTGGCGGCATACGTGACTGGGATCGCTCAATATCTGGTACACTAGTATGAGGTCTCCACGAAGTTGCCGGTACCGTCCGCTGAACACTCCGAGTATCTCCAGTCATTCCTGGTAAGGAGTGTGGCGCAAGTCCTTGACGATTTTCGTTGCTCGACGCTGTGGGGTCTCAAGCGCTGCAAGGTCACGTTTTAGCCAGGGTTGCCAGGCCTGGATTGCATATTCGACGTGAGGACGCACGTAGGCATTCAGCATCAAAGAAAAGATGGATGGATCCAAAATTCCGAATGATCTTCACAGGAGTCCAACGTGCTGGTTGCCCCTTTTAGAAGCGGAATCTGACTGTTTGGAACACCCAAGTCGCGTTCCTGAGTGGTGGTCTTCAGATCGTGTGCCCCAAGCTTGTAGACGTGGACTTGTCGATGGCGGATATGAACAACGCGACATTTATTCACATTAAACGGCAGGGCGTTTCTCACCGACCAATTCCAGGCCTCATTCAAGTCACGCTGTAGGACTTCATGGTCGTCCGATCGTTTTATCTCCCGCCAAACCTTGAGGTCGTCCGCGAAGAGTAAGGATTTCGACGTAATAACTCTTACTAGATCGTTAATGAAAAGCAGGAACAAACGAGGCCCAAGTACCGAACCCTGCGGTACGCCGCATCCCACTCGAATCGGATCGGAAAAGGATGATCGAACTCTAACTACTAACTGCCGTTCAGAGAGAAAGTTACCGATCCGTCCTAACAACGGGTCTCCGATACCGTACTGTTGGAGTTTAATGATCAGGATTCGATGATCCAGGCGATCGAAGGCTTTCGAAAAGTCCAAGGATGCAACATCGAGTCCTGTTCCCTCATCGACAGTCTCGGTCCAGTTGTCACGAGCTAACAGCAGATTCGTCGTACATGAACGATGTTGACGAAACCCATGCTGTGCTGGCGCAATTATGCCGTAGTTTTCCAAGTATCCCATTAACGCATCTGCTATCACCGCTTCCATGACTTTGGCGATCACAGGCAGAAGCGTTACGGGGCGGTAATTGGCAGGATCCGATCGACTTCCTGCTTTGTATATGGGCGTTATTACACCTTGTTTCCACCTCGAAGGTACGATGTTCTCATCGAAACAGCGCTGAAAAAATGCAGCTAGTGGTTCGGCCAAGTGGATGGCAGCTACCTGTAATGTTTTCGGGTGAATGTTATCGGCCCCGGGAGAGCTGTGTGGACGCAAGGGTAGCAGCTTTTGCAGCACCATTTCTGCAGTGAACGTGACGTTGGATAAAACGGACGGTGGGGTAACTAGTGGCGGAATATACGTCGAGGCTTGTACACCTTGGAAGATTGGGGAGTGCTGGGCCCGTAATGCGTTGGCCGCCTCTTTCGCAGTATGTGTATACCCATTGGTCGTATTAAGTGGTGGGATTCCCCGTTGCACCTTGCGAAGTCCATTCACATGTTTGTAAAGAAGCTTTTTGTTCGAACAGAATCGTTTGGCTAGCTCCTGCTGATGCGTTCTCTTGTCTTCGCGAACCAAAAGCACACAGTAGTTGCGATGTGAAACGTATTCCGTCCAGTTTTCTGCGCTGGGGTTGCTTTTACACATGCGCCATGCCCGATCCCTTAGAGTCATGCATTTTCGCGTCCGGCTTCGCAAGAATGATTTCGCTGTGCGGGGATGTTGGGAAACTTTTGGTGTTGAGGCTTCTATGACTAGTGACGTGATGGTGTTCGCAAATGTCTCCCAGGCTAGTTCTGGGGTGCAGTTAGCTAGAAACGTCCAACTGGTATTCTCAACTAGAGCAGACAGAACGTGGTAATGGATAACAGATTGCCTCGTTTCGAGCTCCGCAGCTGGATATTCGGCGTAGCAGATGTAATCGAACTGCAAAGTCACGTGATCGCTACGGCCCAACGGACTGCACACCTTTATTCCATCGACCATGAGCTCTTCGTTAGTGAGCACTAGATCTTATATCGATGGGTTGTTTCCTGTTCTGAACCTGGTTGGAACGGTGACGTGGTTATACAAGAAGGTGCTAGAGAGTAGCTCTTACAACTATGCCTTGAACACTCTGTTCTCAACTGCGGTGAAGAAGCAGCATGAATGCAACAGCAGCCTCGGCGTGGGTCACTTTCTCTCTCTCTCTCTCTCTCTCTCTCTATATATATATATATATATATATATATATATATATATATATATATATATATATATATATATATATATATAATCGCAAACTAGGTGAAGGACAGCAGTGTTGCCCTTGGAAATAGTTTAATAAAGGTCAATCGTTAAGTACTCTGAGAAAACTAACGACTCCATAGCGATATTGTAAGAACGATGATCAGTGAAACGGGCACGATCGATTTATAAGCCCCTCGAACTGTCACGATTTTCATTGTAGATATGGTTGTTCATCCTAGCTCTTAAAGAAACTTGGAGTACTTTTCCAGCTGTGAAAGTATTGATTCGGTACGACTTAGTTTAGCTTGTGGTCTTCTGTTTACAAACATTTAGCCCTCAGAGCCAATTGCGTACCGTCTCCAATTGTAATAAGCCGTACAAAAGTTGCAACTGATATGTTTTTTGCAGCATTTTGACTTTCAGCATAACTCACTGATGGAATGGCAAACAAATCCTATTCTTTCTGTGAGCAAGCAACCCAAGACTCCACCGGAATCAAACAATACGGCTCGGGTACCAAAGTGCACACGGTGTCGAAACCATGGAGTTGTCTCCTTCCTCAAAGGTCATAAAAGAACTTGTCTCTGGAAAAACTGCCGATGTCCAGCATGTCTCCTTGTCGTTGAACGGCAGAGGATTATGGCAGCACAAGTTGCTCTACGCAGGTCAGCTTCCATTACTTTATGTCACTCTCGAGCATATGTATGTTTGATTAAATTACGCTGCTCCACGATGCACTTGTATCTTCGTTTCTTGAGGTCTACCGAGATGAGTTGGTAGCTCCAGGCGTCTAAGAGAGGCCTTCAAAGGATGAAGAATAAAACCGAAAGCTTCTGAGCGGTGCTTACGTAGCAATTTTTAGGTACAGAATGACAGACGAACCTGTAGTCACTATCGTCAACATCGATAAATCCTAGTTACTGGTTTACCGAAACTTATTGGTTGTGGTGCTCCTCTGTCACACAGTTATGCCTACCATACTAGTGGGAAACAAAGAGAGAGGAGACGGAATCAAACGGAAAAATTAAACACTCGAATTAGACATTTAGGATCAGGGCACCTACACATCGGAATTGGCACATGGTCACGTACACCTGAATCCTGTGTGAATATACAACGGATAGCTTTCTTTCGGTTTCCACTACTTTTCTTAATAATCGGCATCTGCGCACACATAATTCGACATCTCACGAACTTTGAACAGACAATTTACTCATGAGGTAACTTCAACGGTTTCGCTGCCGTTTGTCACGAGTCATACATAGAGATAAGTGTAGGTAGAGCCGGGTAAAACCCAGAATAGAGAGCAGCACCTAAATGCAGCAATCGGTCTAATCCCATGTGAACTCAGTTCCGATGGATAGCTCCAGTAATACCCACTTGTGATTCATGCCACCTTAGCTGAAGCATCGAAGACATTTGCGCCTCAGAACGACCTGGGTGGTCTAAACAGACTGCGCCCGAACAGGCACAATTAATTCTATCTTATCTCCTGACAAAAACAAGCATGCTCACCAGCAACTTGTTCCAAAATACGTAACTCCCTTTTCGGTGTCCCCAGACATGATTGGTACCCATTGGACAGGGATTGAAAACTGTTAAAAGGGCATCCGGATTCAGGTCAAAGAAACCAACTCCTACCATCATATATGTGAGTGGCGTTCGAATTATTGCTGCAGCTTCAGCCAAGAACAACAAACTAACCCCCTATTCGCACAACGGGTATCACAGCTTAATGAAGTCATTTGTGATCCTAAATAAATGATTACATGAGTAAGTAAATTGTTTTTCTCTCGGCTGTGGGAGACGCGCCTCATAGGTATGATCATATTGGCGTCAACATCCACTGGATAACGAGCATAAGCTGAGTAAAAGATAAGAACTTGTTCATCTATGGTCAGCTGAGTGAATGTATATGGCACAAGGGATACGGGAGAAAAATATCGTCCGGAGAAAACTTGACACCCGTCAGTGTGTCGGACGCTACACTGACGCGTTTGCTCATATGAACACAAGTGCTGAAACATAAAGTCTTTTCGTATCCATTTTTGGTGAATAATAACATGTTTTTAATTGATTGTTCGGATATGAATAAAGTTTGCTTGAGAATGGGAAATTGTGATAGAAGTTATGTGCTATGATTCCATGTGGCGCAAATATTTTACGGAGTGCATTGGCCGCAGCAAATTCCTTCTTTGCTTGGCGCATGTATGATACGTGGCCAACTGTTGACATGCACAGTGCAATTAGCTTTCCTTCGGTTTCTCAGTATCGACCAATACGCGTAAACGCAAGTTATCCTCCGTTATTCCTTGTCGCTTCGATCTGCAGGTATTACACAGGATGTATACCGATTGTTAGCATGCTCCGGTGAAAAAGAATGGCTCTCCTGTAGAGTACGTTGACCTGTAGGGCACGAAAGCCCGTTCATGGCTAAAGAAACGCTGATTAAAACCAGTTCCGATGGCAACAAAGCAGGGCGGTTGTCACAACACGCGAATAGGGTCAGAAGCAGAACATTGCGTGCAGGCTGGAGCGTGCACTTAGTAAAAGTCAAAAGCAGGTTATTTCAAACAAGTTGGTTTAATGATACATAAGCGGAATATGATATCCACGAAAAATAACATTTATTATTGTTTAAAGTCATTGCCCTCCTTTGATTTACAGTCAACATTTCCCGGTTGAGGTCCCGGCCGCCGATCTGAAAGAAAGAAATGAATTGCAAGAATGGTTAGAGTATTAGCACTGCACCATTACATACCCACTGAGAGGCGTGGCCCTTGACACCCATATCAGTAGCCGATACATAAGACCCCTTGGTCCACACTCCCACTCGTAACAGTCTGGGGGCTCCCCCGGTTTGTTTGAGTAAGTTGTATAAGATACTAAATAAAAGCATCAGCGTTTTGTGCATCTACAGGCTATTTACAGAATGTGGAATGTATGTTGAATTCCTTTGTCTGATCCAACACATACACGGCGCCACATTTGGATTCAGCAGGCCAGTCAAACGCGCGGTCCCTCACATCCGTCCTTAGCTAACTACGCATTGTTCAGTGTTGCATTTTAGTGTATATGCGGAACCATTGTACACCCCAACAATACACCGTCGTCCCATGACTTCTACGTCTTCGTTTCGGGTATTGGGAGCGGTAATTACTGAGTGTCAGACGGATACTCCAAATCTGTTGGGGTGAGCCGGTTACTCTCGGTATAGATGGAATGGCGAAAGTAGACAAACAGAAGGGCATGCAAGCGCACTGGAGTGAAGGACACTCCAAAATTGAACTATACATAACAAAGCACCGTCTAAAGATGGCTGAGTATTGTGTTGCGTACATTCATACTTATATATGATTTGGTATCGGCCGTGGTGAGGAATCAACTCATCTGGCATGGAAGTGGTGCTGTGACGCATTGAATCGGTCTGTCGCCACAGATGATGTTCTGAATTGCACCTCGATCAGCTAGATGAGGAGGTCAGGGTAAATTATAATCCGAGACAGCGGCGAAGAAGGGGGAAGAAACCCGTTGGGCAGGTGAGAGAAGGGTAAATTTGGGCTAACTGAATGATACAGAAACAAACCTTATGTGGTAGATGGGACCAAAGCTGAGCTGTCCTTTGTGGTGCGCATATCAGGCAGGTACGTTGTGAGGATAAGGTAGGAAATGACCAAAAAATTAAATTGGAAAGCAAGCTTAACTATTTATGCTATAGGTGAATGGACGATAACTAAACCTTTATGACAAAGAGTAAGTAAGTATACAGCCCTAAAACTGCGAGAATCGGAGGTAGACCACGTTTATCGGCTAGTCATTTAAGTGAACAATGCTATAGATGGTGAAAACAAGAAAAAAGCGGGAGTCAACTGTGTGTGAGAGTATAGCTTCAATGACATTTTCAATAACTTTAATAGCTATACATTGGTCATCGCTGCTTACGTACTTTCCTAGATGCTCGCTTCGATCAGCGATTTTAGGTAATTCACTATGAGGCCCAATAAATAGCAGGTGACTCCGCAACATTATTTAGTAGCTGTGAAGGTGCGATTTACCTCTCAGAGAATGTGAAACTGGGGATGTTTCCAAGGTTAACTGCACCGTCACAGAATTGTCAAGCTGCAAAACGCCAGGAGCCAATAATCTGGATACATATTTTCCACTTTTTCATTTTTAACGCAATCTTCAAAAGGGTCAACACACTTACATCAGCAGCGCTGAAATGGCTCTATTCCAGTGTAAAGAATTCTCCAGGTTGCGACATTAGGAACACCAGAAGGGTAGGCAAGGACCGAATATGGGATAGGACACGTGGAGTAGCAAAAGATATTTCAGCTTGGGAATCAAGTGGAAGTTCAAAGGATTCAGGTCTAGTGTATAGACTGGGTGAAGACATATTTGGCATCCACACTCACTAGTTGTAGCCACGGTGTCGGCTGCTGATGTGTGGGGTGCGGTGTTGCTATAGTGGAATTGGGTGCCTCTTCGCATTAATCCTGATATTTTCAATCTGAGAAGCTGCAGCACATCAGCGTACCATTTCACAGCGATATTAACACCCTTTTCAAAAGAAACCATCATCACGACTTATCGAGCGTCACTAAACCCAGGTACAATTACCATTCTGGCATAAGGAGCGACGTTGGACTTGTTCAGTTTCTGCTGTGTTAGCCGACCAGTGCACCTTGGTTTCAATCTAGTTGCACAGCTCGATGAACACCACAACTTCAGTTCAAATCACCTGAGCTACCAGTATTCCAAGTAATTTCAGACGGCGGACATTTTCTGTGTCGATGTGGCATGGTTTCACTACTTGGATTGTTCCCTTGTTTTAGCCTGCTACTGGTGAACCCAGCAAACAGTCGCAGTAATGAAGTGTTCACATTGGCTTTAAACGGTTCCAAGTTGTTCATTGAAACTGCGCCGAGGTCGGTCTTGTTCAACAGTCAAAAGACGAGGGACCCAACCAGCATAAACCTATAAATAACCAATTTCATTTTCCATTATATGATTCGTTTCCTCCTCTGAGATATCCATCCTGTCGGCCCCTTGCTATGTGATGTTGAATCAGCATGTTCACAGCACGACAAGCGTTTTGCGCTGGTGATCGCAGTTGACTTTCACATTCACCTCGGTTTGAATTTAGCACTCTTTTTGGTATGCACGAATTCTTCCACCAGGTGTATGAAACGCCTCTGTCAAGTGAATTACTGAGCATATTTACGGTGGATTTCAATCAGCAACATTCCTCTGCTATGAAAATCTTTGACCTCAGCTACACTCTCTGACTTCATTGTTGTCAAGATATCACTGATTACTAATGATTTCGAACATTCGCAAAGAGAGTGAGACAATTAGAAATACGCACAGGACGCATTACAATGAAGAAAAATAGTAGCTTACAAACAATGTCATCCAAACTCCACGCTCGAATTGTCGAGTCCGTGTAGCTGCAAAGCATCGAGTCGATACATCGGTGTACTGATGATGACTCTTTTTATTTGAACACTATGGTTACTATGGGTTCATGAAAATATTCCCTCTAACAGTTTCTAAAATGCTGTATCATACACAGGTACTGCCAGTAAAACTTGTCTTTGTTGGCTAATCCTATCCTCCGTAACGTTCGTAACTTGTATAGCAATGAAGGAAAATAAGCCTTATACCGCCGTTAGTTTGCAAACCATGACGTTCCGCCATTGTTCTCCATGGCTCATGCGCGTAAACATTTGGGTGGCTATGAAAACTTCTAGGGTTCTTGGGGTAGAACCCTAATAGACTCGACGGATCGCCCTACTGACGAGTCCCAACATGATAAAACAGCCGACTAATGCTTTTGTGTATAAGGACGGATATCAGATTTGGAAGCAGCTACGATGAACTCTCAATTAGTTACATCAACCACCTTACTCCTGAGTATACCTCCAAAAGTATATAACTTCTGCGTTGGTACGAGATATTTTCGATCTTATCAGGTTATAAACGTGATTTCTCCAGCAAATGACTTAAAGCTAAAGGTTTCAAATCTCCACAGGTCAAGCGAATTAATAGACGGTAGCATAAAATGCAACAGGTTTGAAACGAGATGGTAGTCAGCGATACCAACCTGAGAGCACAGGGGCCTCCTATAACTCGTCGATGTTCCAGATGCAACACAAGGTGTTCGAACACAGGTTATGTATAATACCTACATTTTCGTTACGGTATCGTAGCCAGCAGGTATAATGAGCCGAAGCCGACAACGAAATAAACGGAGCGCGCTTTAAGAATGAAAACACCAAAGCGATTGACTTGATGTGCCTGTGTTGTCAAGCTAAAACCTGTGGCAAAATGAACATGTGGTCTGCACATTCTCTTACCCTTCGGAACCATAATGATACCACTTTTATGCGTTATTTCTGTTGTGTCGTAATGTGGTGGGGGTGAATAAAGTCAGCGCAGTTGGTTCAACCGGTGTTTATATAAGATTCTTTTGGCTGTTTCTTAACTCTCCATGCACCCTTGGATATTATCACCGTGCTTAGGTCATCTCCTCCCTGCTCGCCTGCTCAGACAACTGCGGCAATTGTTCGCGTGGTGTACCAGTAGCATCCAGAGACAGAACAGGCATGAGCGAATCGGTAGTGAAAAAGCGTAACCACAATATCACTTCAGATGTAGAGGGATCCTTTAAACTTAGCATCCATTGCCCCACTTGTGACAGCTGATTACAAAGCTGCTGATGGGTAGTAGATCAGTTGGAGTGAATCTATAATTACGTTACCCGAATATCCGGACAGCGTTTCTGTACGGATAAATCTGGCGCTGACACTATCCCTGAATCGCCCATTCGCGATCAGCACCTAGGGCCTGATATAAGAGGAGGTGGGACGGATCACGGCATTTATCTGACGATTGTGCACGCTGTGGTTCCTGAACCTACCGAGTATGGCTTACTTGCCAAACACTAGGCTGTTTAACTTAAGGTCAGGTCAGCTCAAGTTCCACGCACGACTTAAACTCTCGCCTAATGAGCGTACTGCTACTTGTACCAGGTAGCAAACCAAAGCCCGTGACATTTCCATACTTGATTGACTGTCTCTGACTCAGCGAACAAAGGAAACAAGAGCAAGAACAATGTTTGCACCTTCAGAAATCGACCTCAGGTTTTAATACGCAATTTCTCTCTACTACAGATTCTAATACAATTACAGCAATTCTGTCATACGACCCGACCGACACGTTTCCAGGCCTCATATGAAGTGTACTACAAAATTGCCTTCCATGGACTCAAAGTCCATTCCAGTTGCTATCGACACGTTTTGCAAAAGGTTTTGCCATGATACTCAGCCTGGTCTTATGTCAATTGATTTTTGAATGATGTCCTCGTAGATTATCTTTTAAAGTTAGACCAAACAGATCAGGAAGATTGATTCCACTGGGGTTCATCATTTTTTGAACATTATCTGAATGCCATGCATCATGGTCATGCATCAGCTGTTGGCCGCGCGCGAATTCGAACCGCGGCACCGATGAAGTGATCTCATTCAGTTCCCAATATGAACAGCACTCGTAGACATTCAAAGACGATGGTATTTGAGTAACATTTTTCTAACATATGTTGAACTATGTAACCACCATAACAGCATTCATTTGGGTTCAGAGAAGCTATAATTCTATTTGAGAGAGACTGAAATGCAACCTTTGGTTTCCCAAAACATTTGGCTATGTATGTCAAATCGTGTAGCGAAGTAGTGGTCAGAGCATTTGAACTGATTGTCGTTTTTCGCCCAGGCAGCAATCAGGACAGCGGGGTACAGGAAAAACGTATGAAGAAACGGACGAATACATTCAAATCCACGGGACAGTGGGAACATTTAAGGAGAAAGGTGCCAAAGGCTCAGAAGATCATTTATTCACAGACCGAAAGCTAATGTCGACGAATGGTATTGTCGCACAACTCGGACAAAGAACGAGCACTAGCTGTGTACACCAACGATCATGCGAATCGAACTGCACTTCCAAAATAACCACGACAGTCAGGACGCGACAGTGGGGCGGTTCGCTCTACAGGGATGCAAATAAAAGCCAGCGCCAGAAGCTTCACATCCAAGGTCAGTATCGGATTCACCAGTTACATAACCTTGGCGTGTATCAGTGGTTTGGTGAGTGCATTTGCGCCAATTCCACTGGATGCGCACGATTCCTAGGAATCACCTTTCCAGTAATAATGTGACAAGATAATTTAAAGAACAGGGGTAGCAATGTCGATCATCATAAATTATGACATAGTTCAAAGATTAGGTTGGATAAGCGGGGTAAAGTCTTCATACTTTTATTTCCTTTGAATTGAAACAATATACGGGTTTCACGTTTGATTACTGATGTGCAATCTTGTTCCCCACATACCCTTTCGTCGCCATTAAACATGACATCAAAGCCAGCAAGTGGATACCCGAAACGAATCGCGCGTAAACCCTTGACATTATTTAACCTTCCAAAAGCTTTTGAAAAGTATTTCCGAGTAATAATACAATGCAATAGACCGTTAGGATTCACTTACTTCATTCAATTAAATAAAAGGGTTTTAGTAGATGGAGATTGGGTGTTACCCACCCGAAAACACTGCACAACCACGAAGCGTTTCGATGTAATTTCATCTCATCAGGTGGAGACAGCAGGCCTCGATCCCGCGACCATTGGGATAGTAGCCCACACCACTACCCCTTTGGCTACCGGGTCACAGTGGGCAACGCTTTTTGCCACAACGGTAAATGACTAATTGGAGGGTCAGGTTTGGACTACACGTTGTGTGATTGGATTGCGACACGCAACCTCACAGTAATGGACTGTGATTCACATTGAAATGAACCTTAGTTGCGTGTCGCAATCAAATCACACAACGTGTAGTCCAAACTTGACCCTCCAAAAGGGTTTTAGCTTATGCAACTCGTCAGTTCACACAGGTCCGAAGCTCAGTGGAAAACGCGTAAAACCTGATCATCTGAGAGGATACATAAATATCCTGTTTACAGTTTGCATGAGCTGTCCAGGACCTGAGCACCACTTCAGTTCGCTAGTGCCATTTTGCAATAATACACCGGATTTGTTCATATTAGGCGATAGGTGCTTAAACTAACAACATAACCAGAAGCCCACGTTTATCTCAACTTTGGACAGCACATAAAAGTACGGGTTGTAACTGCAGTTTCTAGGATCTTTGTAGTCTTCAACCACACTTCTGGGTGCATCGAGGTCTGCAGATGATGTAGCAAATGCGGCGAAGGTCACTACAGATCGTGAGGAATGTCAAGCGGTAGAAATTCTATGTCCAAAGTACCTGCTTAGGGGAGACTTCACACAAAAGTAGGCCGGGTATGGTTTGTCAGTAGGAGTCAACTAAAACTTAAAGCCGTCTATCTACAACTATTTGTGCAAGTTATTAAGTGCCATCCATTCGCGTGTGTACTGTTTCTCCAAGCTTCGAATCCACTGGAAATTGTACAGACCACTATTAGCATCTACGTGTCATAAACGCGACGGCAATGATTACTCACTAGTGCATCTAAAGTTTTCTCTTCACTGAAACCGAAGCATTGATGTGCAAAATACCATGGACGGTGAGCTGATTTTACTCTTCCCAACGTACATCCTGCAGATTTGTCCAAGTTTATTGCTTTCTGTGAGTAATGAGTAAACAATTCGTGAACCTAGATGCATTCTTGCAAAAACTGGTGAAATCTCAGCTGTCAAGGCAGCAGGTGGCCCCTAGGTAGCTTATGTTTAAGTGGTATGATACGAAAACACACAATTCATCCCGCTAAACGACGACAAGATCACAAGCAGATGTCGCATGTATGCACTAATCTGAGGTTTTCGAAAGAGTGTTTGTTGCGCAAAACATGCGGAAACAAATAGCTCTGTGAGATTGCGTGTAGACATCTGCGAGTGTAGCTAACGTCCGTAATGCGTTCACCTACACTCCAGCAAGGGGGCATACGTGTTATTAATCTTATTTCGATTCTCGACTTCGCGGTTACCAACCAGAAAGGAATACGCGGTTCTTAATGCACACCTTTAGAGTGAGCAATCGAACAAATCACACTATCATCACAATTTAGCATATCTCTTAGACAGTTTCCCCCACTGGACGCATGTAGAGCTGGTGGTCTTACCTTCTTAAATTACACCAGCATTGTTAAGAGTCATTTTGAAGTACACTTTGTATGGATTGATTGAGACGCGCAACCTCGGTGTTGACCGCAGTTCCAATTGAAGTGAAATTTGGTCTTTCGATTACGAGCACCGTAGCTGATGCAAATAGAAATTGGGTGTTGATTGCCCGAAACCACTGCACTACTATGACGCGTTTCAATGTTATTTCGTCTCATCACACAGAGTTAGCGGGCATCGAACCCAAGACCATTGCATAAGCCTCGGTCCTCGTGATCGGAATATAAGGATCACTTTAATGGGAATCGCGGTCAACATTGAGATTGCGCATCGCAATCCATCCACACAACGTATACTTCAAAATGACCCTCAACCTCGTTCATTAAACCTTTGTGCCAAGCTTCACCATACCAGTCACTGGATATCCGAGAGGTCTGCGAACCTGTTGGAATCTAGAAGAAACCTCCCGGTTGGCTTTGAGCACTATGTGACCAGACGGACTATTAGGCGCGAACTCAAGCGGAGCCTATGTGCTGACAAGTAAGCCTGGTAGACCAATCGGACTAAAGAAATGGAGGAGGCAGGAGCAGTAGGCAGTTACCGCAAGCTCTTTCAGCCGATCCGCACCCCAGGTCTCAGGAAAACAGGCGTCATTGAGACAATCAGAAACAGCGCGGGTGCACTGAAACACAATAAAGAGCGCCGTATGGCTCTTTGGGCAGAACACTTTCAAGATCTGTTCAGATGGCTCCCTGCTCCCAGAACTCTTCCTTCTCAAATGATGCAGGACGAGCCGTGGACGGTTAGTTTAGAGCCTCCGTCAGAGGTCGAGGTCCGAAACGCGGTCACAACCCTCATTCTTTTTCGCATCGCTGGCCCGGAGTCCATCCTATCTGCACTATTTAAGGATGGAGGTGAGGTCCTCTGCAAAGCACTGATCTCCCTATTCGAACGTATCTGGAAGGAAGTGTCCCGGATAATTAGAGCGAATCGATTATAGTGGCAATATACAAAACGGTAGTCACACAGACTGTTATAACCACAGAGGTATTGGTCTAATGCCAATTGTGTCAGAAGTACTGGCATCGATAATCGTTCGGCGCTTCATTGTGGAACTGGAGTCTCTGATTGGGGAAGAGCAAGTCGGCTTCTGCCCAGGACGTGACTGTGTAGACCATACATTCACTCTGCGGCAGGTGCCAGAGCAGCGCCACGCATACCGTAGACCGACAACAGCTGTGCTTTCGATTTCAAGAGTGCGTTCGATTCGGTCCACCGATCGATGCACTGTTCGAAATAGTTGCTCGGAATGGTCTTCCCACGAAAAATGTGAACATCCAACTTGCTCTATACACGAGCACTACAGACCGTGTCAGGGTCCACGGTGGCCTATCGGACAGCTTTCCGACCACAATTGGCGTTTGTCAGGACTGTCCGATTTCCCCATTTTAGTTCATTTTCGTTGTGGATTCTATACTGGAGTGCTCTATTGTGGAATCTCATGATGTAAGGCATTGAAGTGCTGCCTGGTGAAAGATTAGTTAAGTTTGGTTATGCGGACGATATCGCCTTGCTTTTCGATGATGTTGCGGAAGCACGATCAACCCTGAATAGCCTGGATAGAGTGGTTCCATTATTTGGTATGAATTTCGCATCTTCAAAGTGCAAGCTGTTGCTGCAGGATCATTAACTACTTTATGACCACTTGGTACTTGGTGACGGAGAACATGAGGAGGTTGATCAATTCACGTATCTTGGCAGCTGCATCAGCAACGATGGACGCATAGAAAATGACATCAGCGCACGCGTCGCAAAGGCTATAGAGGCCTTCTTGAAGCTGCAGCATCTTCGGCGCCAGAAGGGAGTTTCTCTTCTTCTGAAAGGCCATGTATACAAGGCCATAGTGGGGGCCGCTCTGCTCTATGATAGTGAGAATGGGCTCCTTCGGTCTGAAGATATGAGGCGGCTTCAAGTCATTGATCATCGTTGTCTGCGAAGCATTGCTGGAGTCGGAAGGCACCAGTGTGTCCCCAACGATTACGTGCGTAGGCGAGTACTAGGTAGTGATAATCATGCTAGCTCCCTAGAACAACAGATAGCACTGAATAAGTTGCGTTAGCTCGGGCACGCGCTACGTATGCCTGATCACCGCTTACCTAGGAAGGCCCTGTTTAGTCTGCCAGGTGTAGGGTGGCGCAAGGTTCGAGGTGAACAGAAGTTGACTTGGCAGCAAGAAATGAAGAGTCTGACGTCCAAACTGGGTGCCGTTGATCCGTCTCGTCTTCCGCGCTGGAGTCCACCTGACTCGCCTTGTGCTGGGCTCGAGACTTTACAGGACATGGTTCGCAACCGACACCAGTGGCACGTCTGATGCCGTCTCCTAATCAGATTGTCTTTTGAAAGTGTGTTTGGTGCTGAGTTAACTGCGGGGTAATGGCTGATTATGACGCGTGGCAGTGAAAGCCGCAAGGAAGCCGTCTCGCCGATGCCGCGTTATATGCACTATAGCCAGCTGTTTGTGACGGTATGTTGTCTACACAAGGTGTAGGCGCCTGACCCTGAATGTTTGCTTAGGGCATTAAGGTTATTTGGTAAGTCCCCGTTTTCTCTCTTATTATTCCTTATTTCAGAGGTCATTATGTTTGCGTGGCAGTGAAGCATCAGTTCAAATGGCTGAGGTACCGCAGTTGCTAATGATTATGATTATGATAATGACGCTGCTGCTGTTGCTGCTGCTGCTGCTGCTGCTGATGATGATGATGATGATGATGATGTACCAATTGTTTCCCGTCGTGACCCGTTGTCTTAGGCGTAGCAGTCACATTAACAACTTAACAGTCTCGGGTTCGATGCCTATTTACACTATCTGTTGAGATGTAACAACATCGAAAGGCGTCATAGTATTGCAGTGTTTTCGGGCGGGCAGCACAAAATTTCTGTTTGCATCAGCAGCGGTCCTCATGATCGAAAGACCAAGGTTCGCTTCAACGGGAATCGCGGTCAAAATTGAGATTGCGCGTCTCAATCTATCCACACAACGTGTATTTCAAAATGACCCACATTCTCGTTAATTAAACCGTTGTGCCAAGACGTTGCCCGACTTGACCCGATGGCTTAGATGTAGCGGTCGCAAGTGACTTCCAAACGTTTTGGGGGTTTGATGCCTGCTAACTCTATTTGATGAGATGATAACGGGATGATGTTTATTGGGGCAGGGTATGTTAAAGAAAATCAAACTGGGACAAAAGTAGCGAAGCAGAGAAGGGTAAATACTGGTGAGCAGGTTAGACGAAGGGTACAACAACCTGACCCAGCAAAACAATAATGGTTTACCTGAAAAGCAACGCTCTCGGGGCTGAAAAATTCGTATTCCATGTTGGGTACCGGTCAAAAGGAAGCGTGTCGATGACTCCTGAAAAGGTAATAGACGAGATGCATGATTCAACCGTTCCTGGGTGCGAAGAAATATCTAGATTGATAATTAAGTTGCTGTGATGCGGCTCTATCACAATGAATGCGCTTAATTATCCACTGCTAATGATCATATAAGTAAAAGCGCGATTGTCAATTCGAGGTATTTATCATAAGGCGATCCTCTACATAAAATTCAAAGTAACAGGGAGTAACACCATTTCAACAGAATAATCTAGGTCCACATATTTTACGTTTTCTTAACAGCTGTGAACAGACGATCTCTGGAACCAGTACGTTATACACACCATTGAAACAGTGTGATACCGCTCTACTCAAGTAGCGCTACTTTGTAACCTCATCAGGGCAAGACGATAGCACTCACAAATCCCGTCTACTTACATAAATTCAGTTTCGGTCGGCAGGTCGCTATATTCCCTGCAAACTGAAGCACACTAGCAGTGCACTATCGTTTAATAAGCTTGAACGATTCCCGCGGGTCTCGGCCCCTAGCGTAATCAAACTCATTCTGGGCGATGGAACTAGCGGACAGCTTAGGGTGGTTTGCTGCCAGGTTACATGGGACATGTACTGAAATCCTCGTGGACAGCCACCCCACAGTTCGGCCCAGGTACTTGCTACCGCGAGTACAATGAAGATGGCTGATACAGGACCCGGTAACTTTACACACTGGCCTGTCCAGATCGGATTTGAAGAACAATGTTTTAACTTGGTGGAATAGTATTAGCTCGGCTGCATGATAGCATTTCTTAATGGACTGGTGGTGTTGATATTGGAATGGCCCATCATTTGTGATCCAAGTAACTGGCAACTTGCTTAATGCCTTCTTCTTAGGGACGTCGGCCGTATGTTATTTGCTTGTTTTTGTTTTTGAATGGCGCGCGACATACCCCTTTGGATACCCGTTTTCTTCTAGTGCTGCTGAGAAACATTGCAAATCTTACCAGCTCGTGCGAAAGTTTTGATAACAAGCGCTCTTTTTATTAGTAGTTGGGACAGATACTGTCACAGTTGAGCTACACTCCAGTCTAGCTAGATTCGCAGTGCACAGATCGATTGATGATTCCAACTGGATTCCTTTTCAGGTTCACAATCGAAGAAAGAAGTGTTTGCTGTTTCATTTTCCATCATAAATTTGATCGAGGGATGGCACTTGTTCAAAGCATCGAGTAGATTGGCTGCCCGTTGAACGTCACAAACTATTGTCAAGGTAGCTGCTGTACAAGCAAACTCTTTGCGTAAAAGAACGCAGTTTGATGTTTTCCGAGTGTCCCATGAAAATATCAGTTAGGACTTGTCCAAGTAGGCTACCGATGGAGACGCCATCCATTTGTTGGTACTTTGTTTCATTGAATTGGGGTTGAGGCAGATAAGCGACTTGAGATGATTTGTCCGGAACCCCATTTTGTCCGCATCAGTGACAATCATGTCAAAAGGTCACTTTTAAGGGAAGGTGAGTGAACAGTGAGCAAACATCGAATGAAACCATATGTATTTCGGTCAACATTTAAACCACAAATCTTTCCAACAAATTCCAATGCATTATTGAGGATATTGTCAATTAGCTCGCATCGGATAGGTTCTATAAGCTAGGTTAAGCGTTGTGCCAGCGGATGTCGACCTCCGCTAGGGCGGAATTGTGCCTTGGTTTTCGCAGCAATTAGTCCAAAGTTCAGTAGACTTTTGAGTTTTCGAGTAATAGGCGTTTCAACTTGTCCCGTTTTATCACGGGTTACTAAAGTGCGTACAAATTGGTTAGTATCTGCGAGAATGGCTCGCATATTTCTAACATTATCATGTTTTTTTCGAAATGATTACCGTAAGGCATCCCAGTGTTCTGCAAACTTTCGATTTTTTCAGTCTCAGTTATACAAATGCTTTAGCCAGCTCAACCGCTTTACCTCAAACACCTGCCTGAGTCGTTGGCCGCTTGTGTCAACATTGAAAAATGTACATACATGTGTGCAAACTGTGTATACATGCCTAATCTATCGCATTTCTTTGATGGCAACATTAGAAGAAAACGGGTATCCAAAGGGGTATGTCGCGCGCCATTCAAAAACAAAAACAAGCAAGTAACATACGGCCGACGTCCCTAAGAAGAAGGCATTAAGCAAGTTGCCAGTTACTTGGATCACAAATGATGGGCCATTCCAATATCAACACCACCAGTCCATTAAGAAATGCTATCATGCAGCCGAGCTAATACTATTCCACCAAGTTAAAACATTGTTCTTCAAATCCGATCTGGACAGGCCAGTGTGTAAAGTTACCGCGTCCTGTATCGGCCATCTTCATTGTACTCGCGGTAGCAAGTACCTGGGCCGAACTGTGGGGTGGCTGTCCACGAGAATTTCAGTACATGTCCCACGTAACCTGGCAGCAAACCACCCTAAGCTGTCCGCTAGTTTCATCGCGCAGAATGAGTTTGATTACGCTAGGGGCCAGGACCCGCGGGAATCGTTCAAGCTCATTATTCGATAGTGCACTGCTCGTCTGCTTCAGTTTGCAGGCAATAAAGCGATCTGCCGACCGAAACTGAATTTATGTAAGTAGACGGGATTTGTGAGTGCTATCGTCTTGCCCTGATGAGGTTACAAAGTAGCGCTACTTGAGTAGAGCTGTACCACGCTGTTTCAACGGTGTGTATAACGTACTGGTTCCAGAGATCGTCTGTTCACAGCTGTTAAGAAAACGTAAAATATGTGGACCTAGATTATTCTGTTGAAATGGTGTTACTCCCTGTTACTTTGAATTTTATGTAGAGGATCGCCTTATGATAAATACCTCGAATTGACAATCGCGCTTTTACTTATATGATCATTAGCAGTGGATAATTAAGCGCATTCATTGTGATAGAGCCGCATCACAGCACCTTAATTATCAATCTAGATATTTCTTCGCACCCAGGAACGGTTGAATCATGCATCTCGTCTATTACCTTTTCAGGAGTCATCGACACGCTTCCTTTTGACCGGTACCCAACATGGAATACGAATTTTTCAGCCCCGAGAGCGTTGCTTTTTAGGCAAACCATGATCGTTTTCTTGATTATTCTATTAAAGTGGTGTTATTTGTTGCTATTTTAAACTCAGTAGAGATTAAACAGTTTTTTCTGGAGTTATCCGTATTATGAACTGGTCCTTGCATAATGCTTTCCTCAGCATTCAAATTTGGAGTTGAGCCAAATCCACCTCGTGCCCATGTAAAGACGGTTGTGTGTAACAACAAGAGCATAGCGCGTACATTGTAGTGTATCTGCAGAATAAAGATTTTGATAACCGCTTGTATCTGCGTTTGAATTACAGTGGAACAAACAAACGTGAAGCCGGAGTTGTGTCCACCCTCCTATGGGTTAATTCCAGCTATTGCAGCGGACCAACACCTACCAGATCGAGGTCTTCATGACACTGCAGAGGTGACGAACTGTACACCTGTACTTACAAACACCGTTCCAAAACAAAAAATGGCTCCGTGGTCAGATGATCTACGCCCATTACAAACTGCAATCAGAACGAAGTTTTCGGCGGTTCATTCAACCGCAATAACTGTGAGTCAGTTTAAGGAAAAGTTTATCATTAAAAACTAGCTGCTACTAGTAGTGCACACATAAGCATCAGCATAAAATTGAGATCAGTATCCTACTGAACATCATGTCACTATCAAACAAGCATCCTCGGTGGGTTCAAGCTACAAGTGCAGTGTGCAGATCAAAAGTGCAAAATGTCTTCCTTCGAAATGAACATTTTCCACAGCAGTGTGTGACAATCTGGATGAGAAAACATACACTGCTTTATTCTATAAAGTATTCGGTCATAAGGAAGATTTTGACAAGTGGTTAAGTTCAAAAAAACGGGCAATTTAACTATAGTACACACTGTGTGTGTCAGCATCTTAGGAACAAATTTCTTCAAGGTGCGATTTACCATAAACCAAAGCCAAAACATGCGTGAAATTGAATCCTAAAGTTTAGAAATTGAGGTGGCAAACTAAACACAAGCACAAAGGCAGCGATAGTGAATACTCAAAAGGATGACGTCGTTCGATTAAATGATGAGAAGCTGGAAGTATAAAGCCGATTAGTGAAGCAACACTTGGATGCCGACTTTACTGCTTGTGATGATGTTTAACTAAATCGGTATATCGCTTAAACCAAGAGAGCAGATTTCGGATCAGAACTAATAAGGGTGACAGTGGTTGTTTGTATAAGTCAATAGCTCAGCTGTGTATGATGGGATACAAATAACTAGCGTTATATAAGCCAATTGATGGCAAATACAAAATAAAATCAAGACGTTCCGACGTGAAACGTGAAATACCAATAGTTTGGCAATGACACTTTAGTACATTGTTTGTAGTGTTTAGAAATTCGATGAAAGTCTAATAGTCTTAAGATCGTCCTGATGTTTGTTGCCTTCACCACACTTGATGCCAGCACATTCAGCTGCGAACAAATTCTGCGAGAGCACAAGAATTTGCCACAGTCCAAACAGTGGTGTCTAGTTACTGGTTTCAGGTCATGACCTAGACCTTGTTCGTATCGGGATAGGGTCAGCAGTGATTTGAATGGATGCTCCTTTTTCTGTTGGTATCCGGTAAGTAAGAATGTGATCTTTCCAAAACTGTCGATGTTATGAGGAGAACATAGCATCTACACAAAGACGCATTTCAAGGATTGAGACCGGACAGTTCATGTGTCATGTTAGTGGCTCTCACAAGAGACGAATGTTTCGTTTTAAACATGGACCCTAAGCATAAACCGATATATTCAACATGGGGACGTATGTACTAGCTAATCAGAAAGAGTACTAGACATCCATCAAAGGCGCTAAGAGCTCGCCTCAAAAGCCTTAGGTTTAAATTCGCCACATTTGCTGTCCTCGAATTTGGAAGCGAATGGTCCGGACTTCCTTGGACGATGATGCCCATATCCGTTTCACTGGTCACGCGTTGCAGGACGTGCTGCCCATTGGCTTTGCAGCTACTGCGCAGGGTCAGCAAGTGACAGTTTGCAAGGCTCATTTCAGTCCATTCGTAAATCCGATTCCAACCGTTCTGGAGATAAGCACGATCAAATGCTTAGCAAATAACTCTCCATACCTTTGCATCATCCGTAAATATTTGCAGCAGGGATTAAATGGTTGTTGGGAACGTATTGTTATCGACCTTCTGACACACCACTGGTGATGCAGTCTTTCGGACTGAGTGCCAACGACTAATATCTTGATTACTCTGTCATGTAACTTTTGTTACCATCAGGTTTGCAGTGAACCGGTGATACAGTAGGCACCAAGCTTTGCAGGAGCACTGAATGAGTGACCATGTCGAATGTCATAGAAATACCCAAGTAAAGCACAGCTAGCGTGCCTCCTTTGCCAAACCCTATGGTTTCTTTGAGTTCCGAGCAAGAAGCATTATGGTGAGGCAAGATTGTTTCTGAAATTCTGTTGATGATGGAAAATGATTTTCAGACTTTCAAAATATAGCGTCAGTTCTCCTGCGATTACCGACCTCATACCTGTTGATAAAACAGGATGGAGAGTGATAGGTTGTTGGTTGGCAGAGTCCGATCGCCTATCTTCTTTTTATATCGGGGTGATGACACTATCTTCGCCTTCAGATGGGAGAGTAAGTGAATTAATTAGACACTGATAAAAGGTCGCAAGTGGTAATGCTATTCTGGGGACAATGGTTTTAAAAACAGTTGGAGAGACCTTGTCGATTTCGGGGACACTGTTTTCTCGGAGACACCGTAACGTGCTTGCAGCAGCTGCTAGAGTATAGGTGATGCTGAATAAGTCGACGACATTTACTGGTAGGTGAATCGGTGAAAATTCCATGCTGCCTGTAGCCAATGAGACAAACTGTGGGAGTAGCTGCGTTCGAGGTATCTACGGTAATGGTAGTAGTCAGGCCACTGGCCGTCTTGAGTGGTGTTATCCCAGTTTGAACACATCTTTCGTCATTAACATACCTACAAAGTAGATTTGTGTTCCTCGTAAACTTGAGCACCATTGTCCTTGTTTTCCGTACTTGTCGGCAGTAATGAGTGGTACCCATTATTTTCTGATGGTTAAACTAGTCCCCCACATGATGTCACATGGGCTGAGCGCGAGTTTCCACAAAATTTCGTCACTTCTGTTGATTCCTTTGCGCGCTCTGCTTTGGATCCAGGTATTGGTCCGGTGTGATACTCGTAATGGTATAACTTTTGAGGCAGCCTTCATGGCTCAATTTATTTTACATTTTAATTCATTCCATGCGTCGTTCCTGGAATTTTGCAACTAGCGGTTCTTGTCAAACTTTTTGAAACTTAGATTGGTCAGTAGTAGTTCGTCGTGTTTTTTGTTCGGTATCAACAATAATGGTATATCTCAAATATCCAAACGTTAGGACTGCGTGGTTGCTATTCCTTTGCGGAGGTTTGCATGAAACTGACACCATCATCAATTTTTCTTTAGTCAGAATTTAGACCGGAAGTGATCGTTTGTTTGAAACGTGGTGTCTGTTCCGCTGATCCCCATGGTCATACAAAACTGCCGTATTGATGAACTTGAGGCACGTTGATTTGAAGGATGACCCCCAGTGAGAAGCCAATACTATTGAAGGCACTTTGAAGTCGTTCATTATAAGGTAGTGCGAATACTTTGCTAAAATATCATATTGGAGGGCGTTTAACAAGATATCCTTACTATCTGCGGACGAGTTCGGTAGATAGTAGTCAACTGTTAAGAGGCAACCATCATGTGTTCTGAGATCCACCACCTCGATATACCAACTGCAGTTGTCAACATAAGGCATCGGTACTACTACGGAACTGTTCGGTAAGGGCCTCACATTTCAGTAATAGACCGCAACACTGCCACTTTGAGATGGATGATCATTTCGGATGCTGGACATTCCAGTGAGTTCAATTCCGGGATCTAGTATCGCGTCTGAGAGATAAGTTTCCATCACTACCGTAATGTCCCATGTTGTTGTTTTATGTCGTTAGTGTAGCAGCACAATGTTTGTTGACTTATTAGGAGCTCGGTTTGCTGTGTGGGACCGGCACAAATAGTGCCGATCTGCAGACGTTGTTGGATGCAGGAATTTGCACGTTTGGCTGATCTACAGTGGGAACAACTGACTCGGGCTCATTTGTTCTGGGGTCTGTAAGTTGTTCTACTGCCTTCGTTTTCCGTTGTCATGTCATGGTTGGATCGCAAAGGATCCCATCTTATGCGTAGCCTAGGTAACTTTGAAAATTGTTGGTCCGCTGCTGTAGCAGTTTGTGAAAGAAACTAGGTGGGTGACCTTGAAAGCTACGAAATGTTGAATGTTGTAGAGCTCAGTAATATAACTCCATTCTTCGAGGTCGTGTTTTGTCGTTCACTGTTATTGTTTTGTTGCAATTATGGCACCACATAAACCACCAGCACTTTACTCATTTAATTTTAAGTTGACGTGCTTGGGTCCGATTTCCGTTTTCGTCCTTCCGTCTATTACTTGTTAAGAATACTCCAGTCGCTGACAGTAGGGTTCACTAGAATTTGGCTTGCAAAGAGATCATCTTCCAGTTCCTGTGTGTTGCCAAATATTACTCGCAGTAACCGAAGTTTTGCTACGTGCGGCCATAATCGGTTTCGTAAAAAGCGTGTATGACTAATTGGGAGAATATTCAGTCCGAGCGCGCAGCTTAGATTAGCCCCTTGGTTTTGCTCCTCAACCTGCCAAAACTGAACCATTTCTAGTTGGTTCTAAGGCTGTCACAAAGCGTACTAGTTGCTTCGACCGTTACTCGGAACCGACGAATATTCTTCAACCTCGTACCTCATGCGTGCAGAGTAGCCAATCGAATTCGAAACATTGCAGGCTAATGTTACATAGCCGCCAGACGTACACGCGAGTTGAGACTGAGACGAAAAATGCGACTGCACAGAGACCAAAACGAGAAAATAAGGCTGCTCGTTAGTACGAATCTTTCAATTGATTCAGCCAAGACGAAGTATGCATTCTATGCCTTCATATTTATGGTCCAATGGAATATAAGTGCAATGCATAAACAAGAGAGGAAGATGATGATGGCAAATCTTATGAGTTCTCACTCAATGTTATTGGCTTGAGGGAAAACTCAGTTAGTGTCAGTGTGGTTTTGTGCAATCACTGCGCAGTAAGCTAAGGAAAGCTTAGACAGTTCGCCGCGGCCTTATAAGATAAGAACACTATAGAACTAACTACTCAATTGCATCCATAACGGAATAAAGCTCCTCCTTAAAAATATTCCACCGAATCCACAAGTACATCCAGTTGTACATAAAGTGGCGCACACGCACAAATGCGCGCCCATCTTCTAGACCAATTCAAATCAGTGTAAGAGTACTCAGAACATTTCCATCGGTGGGTGCAG